CTCGAGGCAGTGCCAGGGAGTCCAGTGGGTCAGTGTCCCTAAATTCCTTCCTATTCCGTGTGGCTGGGTGACCCTGAGCTGGCCGCTTGCCCTCTCTGAGACATCCCTTCCTTGCCTCTCAAATGGGGTTTCTTGTGCTCGGCGGGAGGGATGAGTCGGGGAAGGCGGCAGATGTGTCCTGCACGGCGGCTCGCGGCTGGGGCTCCCAGGCACGGTGTTCGTGCCCGTGTAAGTTGTGAGTGTTTCAGGAGGTGAGGCTCTTTGTCCGTCTGGCCTTCTCACTGCCCCGGGGGGCTCAGCAGCTTTCCGGAGGCTTTTCCAAGAGCACCCTGGGATGCGGGGCCTGTGGGACAGGAACTTGGCGGGAGGAGGCCCCTGGGTGTGGTTCAGAGGGCCATAGTGTCAAACGAAGCAAACAGAACAGAGCCAGTGTCCGTGAGGATGTGGGAATCGGAGCCCTCCTGCATGGCCGGGGGAATAGAGGGGGGTGGCCGCTGGGGAGGACAGTTGGCAGCTCCTCAGAAAGTTAAACACAGAGTCACCATCTGACCCAGCCAGCGAGTCCATGTCTGGATCTACACCCAAGAGAAGTAAAGGCCAGGGCTCACCCTGGCACCTGCCCGCCCACGTTCCCAGCAGCATCGTCCACAGCGGCCAAACTGTGGACACGACCCAAGGCCGGTGAATACACACAGTGTGGTCCATCCCCACGCGGGAACACGATCCAGCCTCAGGAAGGAAGGGACCCTGACACCTGCCAAGACTCAGAGGGACCCCGAGGACACCGGGCTCAGTGAGAGGAGCCAGACCCAGAAGGACACATCCCGCAGGAGGACCCCACTCCCAGGAGGTCCCCAGAGGAGTCCCGTCCACAGAGACAGAGAGGAGAGGGTGGGAGCCGGGGCTGGGGCAGGGGGTGGGGACAGAGTCTCCGTGTGGGGAGATGGAACGTTCTGGAGACGGAGGCTGGGGGTGGCTGCAGGACCGTGGGAGCGTGCTTCACGCCGCTGAGCTGTGCGCTTAGAGACGGTTGAGGTGGTACATTTTATGTTATGCGTGTTTTATAACAATAAAAAAACAGGTAAGGTTGTGTTCCCCCCATTCCTTTTAGGCGCCCCCCGCCCCGGGCAGGGCGGGTCTCCTTCAGCTGCCTGGCTATACTAGAGGGCTTCCTGGAGGAAGCAGTGCTCTATCAAGTCCTAGAGGACAGATGGGGGATGGGAGAGCAGCTTCCTTTGACACAGTCTGAGCAAAGGCCTCGAGCTGGGGTCAAGTGTGGGAGAGCCAGTGTCTGGAACACAGACTCCAAACGAGGCTCCTCACCCTGCCCCGTGTTGGCTCTGTGACCCCGAGCCAGTGACCTTATGTCCCTGAGGCGGTCTCCCATCTGCCTGATGGGTCAGTAGCAGTGTAGGCCGTGGTCAGCAGGGAGACTTGAGGGCAGCGAGTGTCAGGCACATGGCTAAGGGGGCTGCTGCTGTTGTTAGGATTGCTCGCAGGGCGATGCGGAGCCATGGTGGGTTCTTGAGCAGGCGAGGGGCAGGGAGGCTTGAATTTGAGTGGCCAGGGGAATGCCCTTCTGAAGCTGCCGGGTTCTCTCTCCCTTCCACAGACAGTGTGTTGAGGATGGATAGCCCCTCCAAGATCATCAAGCTGGACACCGTGCGCGTGATCGCGGAGAAAGTAAGCAGGGCCCTGCTGTGGGTCCTGTTTCAAGGGTGGGGAAACCAAGGCCCAGGTCTCCGACCTGTTCTTGCTCCATGCTGAGCAGCAGGGACGCCCACGGCGCCCCTCGGGGAGGTGCTGTGACGTGGGGGCTCGGGAGGGACACAGCGGCGAGCCCGGGGCTATCCCAGCCTCCCCCCGCGCCCCCACCCCTCCGACATGCTGGCCTGTGTTGCGAGGCTGGGGCCCACCTTGACCTTGGCCCTTCACCTGCATCTCTGATCAGCTGATCTTTCTCCTGCCTCTTGACCCGTCTCCTGCTCTGTCTCTGCGGTCTGTCCCCCGCCGCCCCCCGCACTCCCCCTCCCACCGTCTCCACTGCGGGCTGGGCCCAGAACAAGCACGCGCTCTTGGACGTGACGCCGTCAGCGGTCGAACGCCTCAACTACGTGCAGTACTACCCCATCGTGGTCTTCTGCGCCCCCGAGAGCCGCCCGGCCCTCAAGGCCCTACGCCAGTGGCTGGCGCCCGCCTCCCGCCGCAGCACCCGCCGCCTCTACACGCAAGCCCAGAAGCTACGGAAGCACAGCAAACACCTCTTCACGGGTGGGCTGGGAGCTGGGGATCCGGGGCAGGCGATGGGGCCTGGACCGAGTCTCTCCGCCGCGCTGATTCCCCCTCCCCACAGCCACCATTCCCCTGCATGGCACAAGTGACAGTTGGTACGAGGAGCTCAAGGCCATCATCCGCGAGCAGCAGACCCGGCCCATCTGGACGGCCGAGGACCAGGTACCGGGTCAGGGCTGGGGGCGTGTCCGCGGTCAAGATTTGGCCTGAGGTCAGGGTCTTGGCCTGTTTTGGGACTGAGGTCAAAGGCTGGTGTCCTCAGTCGGGGGTCCGGTCTGAGATCAGGGAGGGCCTGGCTTGGTGTGTGTGTGTGGGGGGGGGGGTCTTGGCTCAGCTTGGCCCCCCCGCCCCACAGCTGGACAACTCCTCAGAGGACAACCTGGAGCTCCCTCACCACGGCCTGGCCGACAGCTCTGCAGATCTGAGCTGTGACAGCCGGGTCAACAGTGACTACGAGACAGATGGCGAGGGCGGGCCCCACACGGACGTGGACGAGGGTCCCCCGGCGCCAGCTCTGGCCCGGTCCTCGGAGCCCGTGCTCGTGGATGAGCCCCAGAGCCCACGGGATCATGGGAGAGCCTCCGGTCCCCGAGGGGCCCAGGTGAGCAGGGCACGGGGGTGGCCCTGGCAAGGGTCTCGGGATGCAGCTGAGACACACGGTGAGGGAACCTGTTTCCCCCTAGGATATCAACAAACAGAAGCTTCTCTGCTGAGATCAGTATTTCAGACCCAGACCTAGGCTATTTGAATGCATGCGTCACTGAACAACTTAAAACAAACGTTTCCACCGCTGTGTTTCCTTATGGAATAGATACATCTTGAGGTCACAAGGTGGTTGTTTAAACTCAATGCGCTTACCCAAGTCCCAGCCCATACGACTTGGGTGTTTACCAAAAACAAATATTTATATAGTATTTATTCTTTGTGAGGCTGCCTCAGCCCCCACAGTGCCTTTCTATAAATTTGACAAAGGTACCCCTTCCTCCAGGCTCTTTAGTTAAATGTGAAAATGTACAAATCTATGATGTGCTCCCAGGAGTTGTGCAGTACCCGACCTGCTCAACTGTCCATGGCAGCTTGCTTATGGGGCAGGCACTATCCTGAGCACTTTCCATATATGAACTTATTTATGAACTCCTAACAGCCCTCAGGAATTGTGCAGATGGGAAACCCAACTCCTCCTTTGCTGACAGGCTAGGGGATCTCAGCCAAGGCCTTCCCCCCATCCCAGCATATCTTTTCACTGAAAATTAGAGACGAGTTGCAGACCTGTGTGGGGCTAGGAGAGAGCCTGTGGGCAGCACTGCCTGGGCCAAGGTGGGGAGTTGGGACAGGGGTGCTCTGCATCCCAGTTTATCTTACTTTGGGGGAAGTGCTGACCTCCTTTCCCCCCCTCCTAGGTAGACACCCACCCCCACCACAGTCAGTGGCGACAGGACAGCGTGCGGTAAGAGCCCCCGTACTCCAGACTGGAGCCCCTCAGAACTTTTCCTGGGACTCAGGCTCAGGGGATGAAGGGATCCAGAACCAAGCTATGTCTAAATGTGCTCCCATCCTTCTGGGCGAGATGAAAGCAGAGGGGCCAGTCCCACCCCACACAGTCAGGGCCCGCTTCCTCAGAGGACTGGGAAAGCTTCCGGAAGGACAGGACATGAGATGGGGCTTTGAAGGATGTGTAGGAGTTTGTTCATGAGGCCTGACCCCTAAACGAGCAGTCCTGCTCATCTCTGTCCACGCCCATTGTGCCTAGCAGAGTCAGCCTCAGGTAAGGGTAGTTCAAGCCTCCCCACCGCCCACAGCCTCTCCTCTGTTTCCTGATCCCCAGGACCTACGGGCGGGAGGCCCTGAAGAAGAAGTTTACACGAGCTCAAGATATGGAGTCCTCTGACGAGGACGGCTATGACTGGGGTCCAGCTACGGACCTGTGACCCCTCCCAGGTGGCCGGCTGACCCATATTCCTTTCTCTCCACCGGCGCTGGGACTCGATTTCCCACTCAGAACCTAGAACCCCGCTTCCTTCTGCCAGTCTTTAATAAATAGAGTATTTTCACAACACTGGCTTCTGGAGATTTCTGGGAAGGACACAGAGTGAGAGTCAGTCCTGTCTTTCCTCTCTCAACCCCACAGACCTCGATCCAAGATTTTGCCCATTTTTTTTTAAGCATTTAATGTTTTACATCAGAAAATAACACGGCGCCAAGAAGCCTTGGAGGCCCCACAGACGGGCTCCCAGGGCTACCGGGGCTAAGGCACAGCAGAGGGAGGGAGGGGGGCGCTGGTGGCTGGTCACAGGTACACGGGCTGCTCCTGGCCGGTGAGCAGGCGGTAGGTGGCGGCCGGCATCATTTTGATGTGGACCTGGGGGGCCAGAGAGAAGGCCAGCGGCTCAGGGTGGGCCTGCACTGGCTGGAGGGGCGCCCCCCTGGACCCGCCCGCTGCCCACACACCTCCGTGTGGGCCTCGGTGAGCAGCTCGATGATGCGGGCGTGCGGCGTGGCCACCACGCTGTGCCCGTTGATCTCGATGATGCGGTGCCCCACACGCACGCCCCCGCGCTCTGCGATTCCGCCCCGGAGGAGACTGCAGATCTGGAGGGGACAGCGAGGGGCCGCGGCTGCTCAGGGGCCACCAGTCCCCCCCCCCCGACCTCCCCTGTCCTGGGGCTAGGGTCTCACGATGCCGTCCTCCACGCAGAAGCCCAGCTGTTCACGGGTGTGGGGCCGGCGGATGATGGCTGTGGTGACCGGCGGGCAGTGGATGATGCTGAGGGTCACCAAGGTCTGTGACTTCACCTCCTGTGTAGGACATGGGCTGTTGGCCTAGCAGGGCCTCTCGGTACACTGCAGCCCCCTGGGGCCTCAGTTTACCCACTCGTGAAATGGAGCTTCAGAGTCAAGGCTCTTGATTCTAGAAGACCCCTTGAGAAGCAGTTAAGAACACAGACTCAAGCTGGGCGGCCTCAGGTCGGAGCGGTGACCTCTCCCCTCCCTATCTGTGGCCTCAGTTTCCCTGTCGAGAGCACATTTCTAGCAGCGTCTGCCACGCTCAAACATAACATGCTGCGTGGACCGTGTCGGGCTTGCCCTTCTGACCTGGCCAGGTCCTTCCCCGCTCTGAGCCTCAGTTTCCCCAGCCGGCAACAAGGGTCAAGACTCAAGAACACACTGGCTGCCTCGGGGCAGAGAGGAAGGCTCCTGACCCTGCAGCTAGACCGCCTGGGTGCGAATCTTGCCTTCACCCCATCAAGGCCCCCCCGGACCAGCAGCGTCCCCTCTCCAAGGCTCTGTCTCCTTGAGCACACCGGGGCGGGTAGGACTTCATGCTCTACCTTGCCCCTTCTGGACCGCGCCAGGGAAGGGCACCCGGCCACCCTGCGGGGGACTCACGCGGACGGCAGCCTGGCAGGCGGCCAGGGGCAGCCCCACCAGGCTGGTCCCATTGATGGCAGTGAGGCGGTCCCCGATGCTGAGGGCCCCCGAGCGCTCGGCGGGACCCCCATGCAGCAGGTTGGCGATGACAGCCGTGGGCAGCAGGGAGCCCCAGCCCGACTCCACCAGGGCCACGCCCAGGCCCTCGCCCCGGCGCTTCTCGATGCACACCTGGGAGGGGGACACGGGGTGAGAGGCATGAGGGCTGCTCTGCTGGGGGGCTGGCGGGGGCCCACCGGCCTGCTTGCTCACCTCCCTGCAGTTCTCGCTGTTGGAGAAATGGTCGAGGTCCCCGTTGTGGAGGTGGCCGGGGCCCGCGGCGCCCTGGCTCTGCTGGGCACCCACCTGGTTGGGGTCGATGCCACTTTCCCGAAGGAACTGGCTGTAGGCCACGGTGAAGGCCTGGCCGATGGCCTGAGCGATGAGCTGGGCCTGCAGGCCGATGGGCAGCATCTCTCGGGGGGGGTGTCCCACCCACCTCCTTCAGGTCCCCCAAACCCTCTGGCGTCCTCAGAGCCGAGCCCTCCCACCCCCACAGGGAGGCAGGATTCCCAAGAGACAGCACAATGCCCTGTGGCTTCGGGGACTGTGGAAACCAGCCCCTGTCTTGGGGAATTTATGGGGGGGGCGAGGGGAGGGGAGGGAGACAGGCCCGGAGGGGGGAGGTTCAGGGGTCGGCTGCCAGTCTCCAAGGCTTACGGGAAGGACCAGGGGCTTCGGGGGTGGGGAGGGGGACAGCGGCCCGCGCCGAGGACCAATGGAAGGATGCTGCAGTGACAGTGTGGCCAGGCGGGCTCTGGCATAGGGTGGGGCCGGCCCGGGTCCCCCTCTCCCCCAGGACGCCCAGAGCAGGGCTGCTCACGTCCTCGGAGTGGAAGACGTGGCACAGTATCTTGTAGAGCCTATGGCTGTGGGCCTGGGATGCCGGCCGCCGGGCCAGCCGCCGCCGGGCCATGAGCACCAGCACACTGCCGATGTCAGCAATGTAGGAGATGGTCTGCAGGGCGTGGTCCATCATGGCCTCCTGGAGTGGGGGGGGGGGGAGGACCAAGCGTGGGCGGGCTGTGCGGGCGCTCTGCGGGGCCCCCACACCCCAGAGGCCGGGCCTGGCTCCGTACCTGGGAGTCGGCCGTCAGAACCTTGACCCTCTTGGTGGACACAAAGAGGTCCACTTCCGTCATGGGCTGGGTCTCCCCGTCAGGGGCCTGTGGGGGTGGGTGGGAGGTGGAGGCCCGCGAAGACCCAGTCTCTGCCGCGCTGGGCTCCAGGGGCCTTGGAGGACCTGGCCGGCAGCCCACCCGCCCACCCGCCCACTGGCCGCAGGGAACCCCAGCTGCCCAGCCCTGGCTTCACCTTGACACGGTCCATCGCCTCCCGGGCCTGGGCCATGCGTGTGCTGGGAGGTGGGTTCCGCTCGGACACCAGCTGGGTGGAGCCCAAGTATTTGGCCCCAAATATGACACCGTCTAGGAGGTCTTCATGGTCACAGGGACCAGGTACTAAAAGCAACAGTGGAGGAGGGTCAGCCCCTGTGAGCCCTGAGCCACGCACGTCCAACCCCACGGGCTCTGCCCTGGGTCTTGGCTCCCTCAGTGGTCTGGAAGCACAGTGTTCTACCCCATGGCTTAGCACTCTTGAGCCATACACATCCGCCCACTGTTCCAGAACCATCCCATTAGCAGGAGCCACAGACATCCAGAGCCTCTTGTCGGTCTAGAGCCAGCTGGACTCTGTCCACGGCTCACGGACTCCAGGGCAGAGGACCCAGTTTCAGGAGCCCTCTGAGAGTCTAGAACCACAGCAGGATCCATCCATAAACCGCTCTAGCCCTCAGGCACCTCCACCTTGTGTTTCTAGAATTCTGTCATCAGGCTAGAACCAGGCAGTCCCTTTTCTAAGACCAGCAACATTACAAAACCAGTCACCTGTACTCAGTGGTTCTGGAATTCCCCGAATCAATCTGAAGCCATTTAGCTTTGCCCACTGTTCTAGATTTCTCCCTTGTCAGCCCAGGACCGGAGACAACTCTACTCCATAGTTGTAGAACTGCCCAGAGTAGGAAGAGACAACGTCCCACATGTCTAAAAACTCTCACACCGTCCAGAACCCCAAATGGCTTCCATTTGTGGTTCTAGAGCTTCCTGACAGCTCTCAAACCATAGAATTCTGCAGGGGTTCTAGAAATCAGCACCCCTCCAGAACCACATTTTCCCACTCCGTGATTCTGTAACTTCTTAATCATGATGGCATTGGGTAGCTCTTCCTATGGTTCTAGAACATCCTCAAATAGTCGGGACAGCTCAGCTGTCCCCAGTGAGTCCAAGAATGATCTGAGTAGTCCAGAAATGAACAACTCTGCACATAGTTCTAGAATTCCACCAACCTAGCCCAGAACCACACAAAACTCTGCCGTCGAGCTCCGTAATTCCCTGAGCAATCTAGAACCAGCCAGTTCTCCCAGTTCTAGAATGTCTTAACAAGGAGTGGTTGCTTTTTTGGGTTAGAACTGCAGGTGCAGGCCCCAGCTCTGGATGACTCGAAGTGAATTTCAAGTACAGCCCGTTCTGCCCATTATCTTTCGTGATCTAAGATTCTGGAACAACAGAACTCCACTCTGGGGTTCTAGAACTGCACCATCCAATATGCTAGCAGCCAGGCACGTGTGGGGATTGGGCACCTGAAATGTGGCAACTGAAAATGCACACTGGATTTTAAAAAATTTAGTATGAAAAAAAGGTAAAATAATTATAAGATATGAATTATACATGGAAACAACACCTTAAATAGATTGAGTTAATTAAAATGTTAATTACTTTTTCCTGTTTTTTTTTTCTTAAGTTTTTGTTTTCCAAGTAATCTCTACACCCAAAATGGGGCTCAAAATCATGACCCCGAGATCAAGAGTCACACGTCCTCTGACCGAGCCAGTCAGGCGCCCCTATGTTTATTTTTTTAAAGCAGATAACTAGGAAATTAAAAGTTACACACAGGGGTGCCTGGCTGGTTCAGTTGTTTGAACATCTGACTCCTGATTTCGGCTCAGGTCATGATCTCAGGGTCATGGGATCGAGCCCTGTGTCAAGCTCTGCACTCAGCAGAGAGGCTGCTTAGGATTTTCTTTTTTTCTTTTTTAAGATTTTATTTGTGTATTTGAGAGAGAGAGTGAGCACAAGCAGGGGGAGCGACAGAGGGGGAGGGAGAAGCAGGGAGCCCAACGTGGGGCTCGATCCCAGGACCCTGAGATCATGACCTCAGCCAAGGGCAGATGCCTAACAGACTGAGCCACCCAGGTGCCCTGCTTGGGATTTTTCTCTCTCCCTCTCCCTCTGCCCCTCCCCCTGCTAGCATGCACACTCTCTCTCTCTTTCAAAATAAATAAAATCTTTTTTAAAAAAAGTTACACATCACTCACATTATGATTCTATTGTATAGCACGACCCTAGAACTTTCTGATTACTCTGGAATCAGACAGCCCTGTCCACGGTGCTAGAACACCCTGAGCTAGAATGGTAGATATGCTCTATTCACCCCATGATTATGAAACCCCCCAGTCTAGACAGCTCTGTTCACCATTCTAGAACACTATCAGCCCAGGTTCTTTTAATCTAGAACCAAGGCCAAATTCTGGAACTCCCAAGGTGAGTCATGGCTCCACCCATGATTCCAGCACCTTCTTGGAACTGTAAGTCCAAACCAGCTTCACCTTCCCACAACCATAAAACTTGCTCTTTGACTTACAGCCTCAGGTAGTTTGGGGGGTTAATCCTAGAACATTCTAGGTGCCCAGAACTGGTTCTTTCCATGCTTTCAGGGCAGAAATTGAGAAACTTTTTTTTTTTTTTTTTTTAAAGCAGGCTCCACACCCAGCCTGGAGCCCAACGTGGGGCTTGAACTCACAGCCCCAAGATCAAGACCTGAGCTGAGCTCAAGAGTTGGACACTTAAGTGACTGAGCCATCCAGGCATCCCAAGATTGACAAACTTTTTATGCAGGGGCCCAACAGTAAATACGTTTGTCTTTGTGGGCCAGATGGTCTGCGCTGCAACTATTCAACCTGGCCCTTGTAACATGAAAACCACAGTAGACAATACGTAAATGAATGGGCATGACGGTGTCTCAATAAAACTTTATTTGTGGACACTGAAATTTGAGTTGCACATTATTTTCATGCACCAAGAAATACTATTCTGTTTTTTTCCAACCACGTAAAAACATAAAGCCCACTGGTAGCTCACGAGACACGCCAGAACAGGCGGGTTGGATTGGATCGCAGATGGTAATTTGCCAAGCCCTGCTCTAGAACCATGCTACAAATGCCTCACATGCCCTTCCACCCCCTATTCGTTCTAGAACATTCTCACCACTCTCTCTCCCCTCCCAGACCACCTGGAATCTACTCAACCAACCTCGGAGCCTCTCTAGAAACAACTCCTTCCTGGCAAGCTTTGTGCCATTTTGGGAGGAGCCTGGCCGGGGCGATTCTGAAACTGCTAAGTCCCTGGGGGCCAGGGCGGGCAGGACACTCACCCTCCTGGAGGGCAGGGTATGTCACCAGGGTCTTGGGGTTCTGGAAGAAGACAGAAGAGGGGCAGGACTGAGTCCCCTGGCTTGGTTTCTGGCAGCAGAGGCGGCCTGGGGGGCGGGACAGGCTCTACCTGGGTATCGGCAGGCGGTTCTTCAGGAGCAACCAGAGGTGCCGTCTCCAGCCACGGTTCCGGGGAGCTGCTTGAGCTCCTGCTGCCGCCATGCTCGGCAGAAGCTCCCTCCACCCATTCCGGGGCACTGGTATCTCCGTCTGGGTCCTCAGGGGGCTGCAGCGGGCGAGGGGCAGGGTCCGGAGGCTCCTTGGGACAAGACTGGGAAGGAGGGCATTCCTGGCAGTGCAAAAGGCTCAGCAGGTCGTCTGGGCCGGCCTCGGCAGACAAGAGCCCATGGGCATCAGCAACGTCCTGGGAGGCCAGGCCGTGGCCCGTGGCCACGTGCAAGGGGCAGGGAGGTCCATCTGGGGACAAGCCCACCAGATCACCAGGCAGAGCCTCAAACTGTTGCACCAGGTCCTCAATACTTGGCCCATCGAGTTCCATCTGACTCAGGCTGCCGGAGCGTCCCGGCACCCGGTCCCACTGGCAGTTGGGGGTGAGGTCCTGGCAGGGTGAAACTGTGTCCCTGGGCTCCTCCAAGTCCATTGCTGGAGGGCCTGAGGGAGATTGGGAAGTTGTCAGGAATTCCATGCCTGGACCCCAGGCTCAGGCCAACATCTGAAAGAGAGATTCAAAGATAAGATTTCCTGAGTGCCAACGTGGTGCCAAGCTCTAGGTGGGCGCCGTTCATGTAGAACACAGAATTTAATCCCCACCATACCCTGCAAGGAAGGGTCTGCTATGATCTCCAACTGATAGAAGAGGAAATCCAGATGCAGACCAGGCAGGTGTAAGACAGTGGCTTCATAGGCTCCGAACCCCGGAGTACTCCCCTGTTACCTGTCAGCCCAAGCCTCTCCCCACCCGGGGATCCTGCTCCTCCAGACTTGGTTCTTCCAAGTCTCCCCCCACCGCGACGTGTAACCCAGGCTGGAGACACTGCCTGACTATACAGACCCGGTAGGTGCAGGTCCCCGAGACCTCGGACCCAGGACCTCAGCCTAGGACTTGATCCAGGACCCCAGACTTAATACTAGAGATCCAAGACGCCAGAAAGCAGAGCCTACTCTCAAAACTTCCAACGCCACGCTCAAGATCAACCCCGGACTCTGACCCGGACCTCAGAACCCAGCCTGAAGACGTAACTTCACCTAAAGCTACGAGTTAAGACCCCGGTCCTCTCACAGACCCCAGCCTCAAGACTTCAGACCCCCTTCTTCAGCCGCCAGCTCCAGACCCCGCTCCGCCCCCGCCGGGACACTCACTTTCCAAACCGAGGTGGCCTCAGACCGCGAGACCCCCCCAGAACCCCACGCCCCCAGCCGGACAGTCCTCCACTGGCCGCGGATCGCCGATTCCCGGCAGCGGCGCCGGCAGGTCTGTCCGCGCAGCGCTCGGACCCACTGGGCTTGCGCACGTTTGCGGGACCTGCTGGGAAATGTAGTTCTCCCCGCTAGCCTCGCCGCGCGGGAGCGCTAGGTGCCGGAGTCAAGGGTTCGAATCCCGGGCCGCAGTTTACACGGAGTGGGAGTCCCGGCTGGCCTCTGGACCTGTTTCCTCAATTACAAATTGGGGTTAGTGATCACAGCCTGCCATCTACGGCTGTGGGCATGATTCCAATGGATGGCAGATGGATGGGAAGAAATGGGACTGGGAAATAGTAAAGTGAGTCAACTCGAGAGACACCGGAAGCAGCGCAGGGACCCTATTGTAGACGGACTTCCGGTTTCGCTCACAGTAAGGGGGCGGAATGGCAAGTCCTGGCCTAACTTTTCATCCCTGAGCTTCGCTTCCGCAATTAAACTGGGGATAATAATAGTACCTACCTCCTACTTGTGAGGACTAAATGAGATCGAGCCGGCTACGGATTTAGCAAAAGGGCTGGGATATAATGAGTCTATTAGGTATTACCTAATTACTTTCAGGCTTTCGTTAATTGCTCATTGAATAGAATCAGGAATGCATAGGGCGTGGTCTTAAAATAAGTGCTAACTGAAGAAGGGCAATAAGTAAATGAAATATCTTTAAAGTCCCCTCTTAACAGTAACAGGATATCTATAAAATTTTGAAGGTGGGCGCCTGGGTGGCTCAGTCGGTTAAGCGATTGCCTTCGGCTCCGGTCATGGTCCTGGAGTCCTGGGATCGAGTCCCGTGTCGGGCTCCCCGCTCAGCGGGGAGTCTGCTTCTCCCTCTGACCCTCCCCCCTCTCTTGTTCCCTCTCTCAAATAAATAAATAAAAATCTTAAAAAAGAAAGAAGTTTTTAAGAAGATACCCGGAACGCCTAAGAGTGGAATACATTTCCCAGAAATCTCTAGGAGCCTACAACTCCCAAGCACCCCCTTGGCCGCTGTCGTCTCCCGGAAAAGGGCACGTGCCGGCAGTCCGCGTACGTCATGGCGGCCAGACGTCTCCTTGGGACTACGTGGGCCTGGACCGGCTGGCGGGCCCGGGAGCTCCCGGTCCCTGCCGAGCCTGGAAGACTCCTGGTGCGGGGTTATGCCAAGAGACCGGGTGAGCTGGGTTAAGAGGGACCCAGAGGGGAGAGGTTTGGGACATTGGGGAGTTAGTAGTGCGCAGGCGCTGGCTTGGGGAGGCGCTTCCTAGAATCAGTGCGCAAGCGCAAAGAGGCAGGCGCTGAGCTATACGCGCAGGCGCAGTTTCAGGTACCTGGGCTGTGATTGGACTCCGTGCCCCCCAGGTGCGGGGTGTCTTTCTTGCGGGGGGGGGGGGGGGGTTGTCCTGAACTTGGGTCCCGGTCCTGCCTGTGCCTTTAAAGGCACTGTGTGATTTTGAGCAAGTCGCCACCGGAACTTTGAGGACGCAGTGGGGCCCATCTGAGTATTAGCCACTGAAGCAAAGGCGAAATCACCTGGGTACAGCCTGGCCTGACCTCCTTTGTTGGAAGGAGGGAATTGACAAAATGCTGGGCCTTCAAGACGCATACCAGCTCTTTTTCCGTGAGATAAACAGAATTGGAAAGCAGTGGCCTGGTCACTGTAAGCGTCAGTGTTTAATGCAGAATCCACGTCCCACTTAAAATCGTCTTGGGTGCAGCAGACTGTCTAGTCAGGGGCCCGGGGGGGGGGGGGGGCGACGAGGAGAAAGGGGTCAGAAGGGAAGGCCAGCCTCCCCAGGACGCAGCTGGCAGAAATGACTCTCTCCCACCCCCCAGTCATGAAGGGGGGCAAAGGCGGCAAAGGTGGAGTGGCCAGTGAGGCCCTGAAGGACCCAGACGTGTGCACGGACCCCGTCCGACTCACCACACATGCCATGGGCGCCAACATCTACAAGGAGGGCCAGGACGTGGTCCTGAAACCAGACGCGGAGTACCCCGAGTGGTGAGTGAGCCAGGCTGGAGAGCCCCGAGAGCGCATGCCAGGGCAAGGTCTCAGATCTGAGGTTTCCGTAGGGCCTCCCTGGGGAGGGGAGGCACGTGACTCAAGATCTGAGTGGGTGGAAGGAGCTTTAAAGGTAGAGGGAAGAGTCTGTGCAAAGGCCCCGGGGCAGGACTTTACCTGGTTTGTTAGCAGAACAGCAGGAAGTGAAGGTGGAGAGCAGAGGGAGATGGGGCAGGGAGGTGACGGATCTCGGCCTTTGCAGGGCCAGGGGGGATACAGGGAAGATTTTGCTCTTGGCCCCAGGACCAGTAGCAGGACATTGAAGCCATTGACCTGCGCTGATCCTTAAAGCTTAGGAAAGCTTCCGAAAGGTTGAATGGGTGGGTGGGGAGGTGTTCCCGGCAGATGGCACAGACAGTGGCCAGGAGGCAGCACAAGACTTGGTGTGTGCCCACCTCCAGTTCCAGCGCCACTGGGATGGGGCAGCTTTTCCACAGCCAGGAACCCAGCTCGGGGTGGGAGGGCGGGCCCCGGGATCATGCCGCCACCAGATGGCTGGGGGGGCCCAGCCTGCTGCTGCCTCTGCCCACGGTTCCTGGGGTGGGGGACCTCTGGGGGTCTGCCCTGCCTCCCTGACTCCTGCCCACGCCACGGCAGGCTGTTCCAGATGAACGTGGGCCCCCCCAAGAAGCTAGAAGAGCTGGACCCCGAGACCCGGGAGTACTGGCGGCTGCTGCGAAAACACAACATCTGGCGTCACAACCGTCTGAGCAAGAACCAGAAGTTCTAGCGGGGAGGGGCCGGCCGCCTGGAGCCACCAGGGACCTCACCAGGCCCCGAAGGAGGACCCCCGCGGCACAGCACATCTTCTCCACCCAGCCCCCATGGAAGACTTTATTTTCCTGGAGAAAACAGGGTTTTCTGAGAACAGAGGAGACCCCTGACCTGGTGCCTCTTTGGTCCCCACGGCGAGGCTGGGTCAGGGCCCTGGGGGACCGTCCCTGGCAGGCCCTGGCTGCTGTCTGGGGCGGGCAGGCAGGCAGGGGGCTGCCTCAGGCCCATGGCTCCAGGGGGAGGTTTTTCTAGACACGCCATCTCAGTCACAAGGGACTCAAACCCGTTCCGAACTACCCGAACACGAGAGAGAGACTGAAGCGTCCAGGGCGGGCTCTGCCTTCAGGCGCGCTGGACTCGGGCTTTGGTATCCAGGTGATGGCTCTCTCTGGCTCTGGGTCCTTGTAGCTCCGGTGGGTAGTTCTCCTGGAAAGGGGTGGCCCCAGGACTCCTGGCTGACGCCCCCTACCCAGTTTAGCAAGCCCAGCCAGAGGGAAGGGACGTCCTTTTCCTTCCTACCAAGGTCATGTGTTCTCTGCGTTGGCCAGTTGAGCCCCGGGACCTAGGCCTATCCACCGTCCTCCTGTCACCCCACTAGTGCCCAGGGCTCAACCTCCCCCCCTGCCCACCCCAGCAGGAAATGCATCCGGGTGTCTTGCATTTGGCACCAGGAACCTGACCCACAGCCTGAGTGAGAATCAGCTCCTAGCAGTCCTAGCTTCTGCCCTGCCTGGCTAGGGGAAGGATCCCGGGGCCCTGGGGATGAGGCCTGAGAGGGTATGCGGTTGCAGGGGGTGGAGTGGCGGGAGGCGGGCACCACCTGGGGGGCTGGACCAGGGGCCCTCCAGGCTCCTCTGTGCTGTCTGGTCTGGCGGCGTGGGCGGGGCTGGGGACTAATTCTGCCTCGTCCCAGGGAACCGAGAGCCCTCATCCTCTTAGGAGGACTCTGCCAAGCGGATTACCTGCCCTCCCTGGTGGCCCGCCCAGAGCAGGTCCCAGCCCTCCCATGGATCCCCGTGGCTCTCAGGGTAGACACAGAGTTGTCATGGCCACAAGGCCTGGCCACACCTGCCTCCTCTCACCTCCCTGTTGGCACCTCGCTCACTCCACTTCAGCCCCAGGGGCCACCTGGTGGTTCCTCCCACACACCAGGCTGGTCCCTGCCTCAGGGCCTTTGAACATGCCATTCCCTCTGCATGGGTGGCTCTTCCCCAAGGTGTTCCCATGGCTCGCTCTTTTACCTCCTCCAGTTCTCTGATGTCACCTCCAAGAGGCCCCTGAGCACCCTGTTGAACTGTAATCCTGCCACACACTCAGGATTGCTTCTTGGGGTTTTATTTTCTCTCAGCACTTAAAACCAGCTGGCGTTTTGTGTACGTATGTATTTATTTAACTGTGCTTCTTGTCTTCCTCCCACTGGAGTGGCGGCTCCATCAGGGCAGGGATTTTTGTCTGTTCACCATCACATCCGCATTACATGATGGATGGATGGATGGTGGGTGGGTGGGTAGATGGATGGTGCGTGGGTGGGCGGGCAGGCGATTGCCCCAGCTGCCACAAGGTAAAGAAGACACGGCCATGGGACTCACGTATGAGATGCCAAGTGAACCGAGAAGAGCAGACCAGCTTGAACCCCAGTGGTGTGCACCGGTGTGAGGAGCCAGAAGTGAGCCTACGGTCACTTCATGGACAGAGCTCAAAGGCAGGGTGCTGGTCACTTGCAACTGCTGCCCTTGAGCCCCTCCCCTCCTGTCCTGACCCAGGCTGCCCTGTCCTACGGGGAGGTCCCCTGTCGTGCTGACACTGGGCCCGCCCCAAGCCTGGTCACACCCTGTTCCTTGCCCTTGATGGCCTCCTCGTCCTCGAGTCCAGCTGAGTTCTGGGAAGGTCATCAAGGGGTAAAGCGATTGGGCCCAGGACAGGCACACAGGAGCGCGCAGTGAAAGGGAATTTCTCCGAGAGCTGGGGCTCGGCTGTGAAGGACGAGGTGCAGGCGGGGCACCTGGGCGCGGTCAGAGTGGCTCGTGATGGCAGCCTTACTGTTCCAGAGCCTGCCCATCCACCGCACGCCCGTCTGGCAGGTGGGGGGGTGCGGCGAGGCCCCAGGCCAGGCCACCTCCTTCCTGAGACAGTGCCGGTCTCCTTGCAGGGCAGGCTGAGGAGGTGGTGGAGGGGACCGACGTGGGTGGCCACGGACAGGCCGAGATGAGAGGGCTAGCTGGCCTCCAGACTCAGGCCGGTGGCCAGGCCCTGTCCAGAGCCTGCGCGTGCTCCTTGGCCAGCAGCCGCAGGGATGCCTCCTCCAGGGTGAAGCCCTCCGTGAAGGCCGGACCAAAGGCATGGGGCCCGAAGGATGCCTGCAGCCCGGGCCCCGGCCCCAGGAGGCGCGGGAGGCCTGGCACGGCTGGGGGCCCGGGGCCCAGCCAGGGCTCCAGGGGCAGTGGCATGGCTGGCGGGCGGGCAAACGGCAGTGCCGGGGCCTCGGGGAGCCTTGGGGCTGCCCCAGCCCCGGAGCCTGACTCCAGACGCTCCTGGCGGCGCCACTTGGCCCGGCGGTTCTGGAACCACACCTGGAGGTAGTGAGAGGGGTGCTCCTGGCTCAGGGCCTGTGGGGAGGAGCCAGCCCACTCTTCCCCACCCCGCTGCGTCCTTCGGGGCTCCCAGCTTTGCAGGGTTCTGCCCGCTGTCCGGCCTGACTCCCACCTGCTGCAGGGCCAACGTAGTGTTACCTGGCTTCGAGCGAAGGATTCCTCTCAGGGCCCCCATCAGGTCAGCCCCAAGTCTCCTGAAGCTAGGCTCTCCTCACCACTCCGCCCAGCCCCTCAGGCTCCGCGGCCTCTCTTGGCCCTGGGCCCCGGGTCCGAGCCACTCGGAGATCTTTCTCAGCCACGCTCTGCCTCCCCGTCCACCCGCTTTGCACCGGCTGGAAACGCCTCCAGTGTAACCCCTCCACTGCTCAGCGCACACTCCTGGACGCTTAGAGATCACCTGTGCTCCTTTCTTTCTCTTTCTTTCTCTCTCTTTTTAAGACTTTAAGTCATCTCTACACCCAACATGGGGCTCGAACTGACAACCTTGAGGTCAAGAGTCGCACGCTCTACCAGCTGAGCCAGCCGGAGGCCCCCACCCTTTCTGCTTTCCAACTGGAAAACTTTTACTCAACCGCCAAGGTCCCGGTCCCACACCCCCTCCTCTGGGAAGCCTTCCCAGCTTGGAGACCTGCTGCCTACACACCGGGAGGGTCCCTCCCTGGGCTGTGGGGTGCCCTCACCTGCACGCGCACCTCAGGCAGGTGCACCTTGGCCGCCAGCTCCTCGCGGCTGTAAACGTCTGGGTAGTGGGAGGCCTCGAACGCCCTCTCCAGCTGGTGCAGCTGGTACGTGGTGAAGGTCGTGCGGTTCCTCCGGTGCTTCTTCTTGGGGGCTTCCTCGCCCGGGCCCGGCCCCCCACCCTCTGCTGCCGGCCCCTCGCCGGGGCTCAGGAACATGGCTTCTCCGCACCCCCACCTGGCCGGGCGGCAGCAGGACGGGAGGCCGTGAGACGGCAGCAGGGACTGCCAGCTGGGGAGGGCAGGGGAGCCCCCAGCCCCTGCCGGGCCTGGGCTGAGATGCGCCGGGGAGCCGCGCTGGGGCCTGCATTCACTCGGCCTCCCTGCCTCCCGGTCCACCGAGGGATGCTCTCGCTCTCCGTGCGTCTCCTCTTCTCTCTGTGTGTCTGTCCCTCCACCTCTAGTCCCACTTTCCCGCTCGAGCTCTCCCTGACGGCCTCCATCGGCCTGCAGCTCAGCTTTGGTCTGTCCGTCCATCTCTCTGTGTGCCCGGGACCCCCAGGAAGGCAGGAGGCTGGGACACTGCCCCCATAGTCCTGCCCCCCATCCTGGGGGGCTCCCTGCACCCCCAACTCCCACCAGGGCCCACCTGTGCCCACCTGCCCAGTACTCACCGCCCCCAGCAGCCCCTCGACAGCCCCAGGATCCACGCAGCTCTGGCCCCAGCGGGCCTAGCACCCCGTCTGCTGCTGGCCTGGCCCTGCCAGAACCAAGCGGGGAGCGGGTTGGGGTCTGGCGAGGTGAAGATTAGAGCGAGGTGATTACTTGAGGCGGCCCCTCCCGCCCGGGCGCTGGCTGCAGAGGGCGGGCATGCGGGAGGACGGCTGGGGCTCCGGAGGGGTGTGACCGTCGGCCTGGGTCCACCTCCCCTCGCAAGAGGACACCAGCAAGGGCCTCCCCCTCTCTGGGCCTCAGTTTCCCTAGCTGTAGAAGGGTGACGCCAGGACCTACCTGATGGGGCTCTCATGGGGCAAGGAGGAGATGAAAGAGCATTGCACAGTGACTGGCATACAGTAGGTGCTCAGTGAATGTCCACTGCTACCGTTTTTATCAGCTGGGGCTAGAAAAAGTTCCTCGTAGACACACAGGTGGTGACAGGGGTGGGGGAAGCCGAGGTCCTGACAGGTGAAGGCAGTTCCAGTCGCCTCCCCCAGACCCTGAGCTGACCGGGGAGTAGGGGGCCTTTTCGCTGGGTTTTGAGGAATGGATAGAAGTTCACTCTTCATTCATTCAGTGAACGTTATTGAGCACTTGCTGTATACCGGGTACTGTTCACAGAGGTGAACAAAACAGACACAAATCTTGGAGCTGACATGCTAGGAGGGGAGATAGACAATCAGCAGATAAGACATAGAGGGTGTCAGGTGGTCATAAGGCTCATGAGGAAACTCAAGCAGGGGGGTGGGGAAGAGGGTGGGTTGCTCTTTTAGAGAAAGTGCTCAGAATGGGGGATGGAGGGCAAGGCAAGATCCTGGACACAGCCGTGTACGGAGGGGAGGGTGCTCGGGAATCGTGGGAGGTTGTGGAGCAGGGGCGGGGACATAGATGGCATTTTGGAGGAATATCTCTTGTGGGCAAGATGGGAGGCCGGGAGGAGGCTAGAGCCCTGATCAGGGCCAGGGCTGTGGGATGGACATGGGGGGAGAGGGGGACAGAGGAACAATCCTCGGGGAGGAAGTCTGGGGGAAGAGGGAGGAACCGGCCATACCCAGGCCCCCGTTTGGGGGACAGGTAGATGACAAGACTGTCCCAGAGGCAGTGGCCCGAGAGCCGGAGCAGGTTCCAGGGGAAGCCCCTGAGGCGGTTTGCCCACCCCCGCCCCCACCCAAAGAGCCCGGGGCCCAAGAGGAGGGGAGTCTGGGGGTGGGGGGGGCAAGGGGAGGCCAAGAAAATGTCTGATGGATTTAGTGACACAGAAGACAGGAGGGAGGTCCAGGCCTGTGTATGGACCGGGGAGCAGGTGGGAGGCACCTGCCGGAATGTTGGCTTTGTCGGGAGGGGCCCGCTTGTGCAACCCCCTCCCCAGCGAAGGGGGGCGAGGCCCTGGAGGGGGGTCCAACTACGCGCACTAATGGCCTTGGATGAGAAACCAGCTGTGCTTCCTGCTGAGGGCCGGGAGGGGGGGGTCAGGGGCTCAGCGCCCAGGGTTGGGGGGAGCCGGGCAAGGAGGCCCCAGCCACCCTGAGCCCAGGTGCTTCCCGAGGCTCCCTGGGACCCTCCAAGCCCAGCTGCCCTGTCTGTGAGGTGGGCTCGGGGCTCTGGGGCCGGGGTGCGAGGCCTGCAATATGGGGCGGGGAGGTGGTGGTCTCTAAGTCCCTAATTGCTTCATTACTAAAGAGCTGCTCTGTTCTCAGGCCCCAATTAGCTAATTGGCCCCGGGTGGGTTAAGAGGCTGCAGGAGGGATCTGGGCGTTAGGCACAGAGGCTTTGGTGGCTTAGCGGATGCAGCTGATTCGGGTGCAGACGCTGTGTCAGCTTAGAGAACAGGATTAAGGGCGGGGTGGGGTGGGGCTACGTGTCCCCTCCAGCTGGATTAGGTGGGGGTCAGGCCACTCTCGGCCCGACGGGTCCCCCATCCTTCATTTCTCCCCCAGGAAGAATCCCGAAGCCCCTTCAGGTGCCGGCGGGGAAACTGAGACCAGAGGGTGGGCAGGGCTTCGGGGGGAGGGCACCACAGGAGGTCAGTGTGACCTTGGGAAAGCCCCCCCTCCCCCGCTGAGGCTGTGCTCCGGCGGGGGTGGGCCAGCCAAAGGGGGCGGGTGTGCTATGGTCTGGTGTCCCCTCCCCAGCCCCAGTTTGGGGGTTCCTGGGGAGAGGGCCACCCCCGCCTGGCCGGAGACCCCCTCCAGGCATCCTAGAAGCTGGCTGGCTGGAAACACCAGTTGAGAGGGGGTGACTGTCAGACACAGCAGTAACTGAGCACCAGCTGTGTGCGCTGAGCCCTTCGCTGGTGTGAGCCTTCAATCCCCAACCCCACCCCGAAAAGACGCCTGATTGTAGAGGAGGCTGCTGGAGCCCAGGTGGGGGGGGACCAACTCCCCAGTTCACCAGATGCACTAACGTTTAGCACTAATGTCCCTCCATCCTAGAAATGCTCTCAGTTCGGGCTGGTTGGTCACCACAGGTCAGGGCCACAAAGCTCAGAACTTGGGGGTGCGAGCCTGGGCCCCAGCCCGTGTGGGTGTGGACAAGAGAGGCAGGGCCAGCACTTCTCAGCCAGTCTCCGCCTGAGTCGCTGGGTCAGTCTGGTGGCTGGACTGGACCCTCCCCGGGCTCCCGCACATCCACCCTGAGGGGCAAGGCTGGGGCAGAGGGGGTGGCGGCGTGGAACTTGGGCCTCCGTGGCCACTGGCACCCTCCCGCGGTCCTCTGAGCCTGGGACCCCAAGGGTTGAATACGGCAGCCGTGGGGGTACCACAGCGGGAACCATGGATGATAGTAAGTAGGTCCGTGGGGGTGGCTGTGATCCTGGGGGTTCTCCTCACTCCATCCCTGGGGACCCGTGTCCCCACGGCGGCTACAGGATCCCGGCTGGGTAGGCCCCTCAGCGGGCAGAGAACAGGCAGGTGGATCGCCCTGGGCTGAGCGATGGTGGCGGGGGCTCCCCTGGTGTTAAGCCCCTGGGGTGAGGGACGCCAAGGGTTGCAGAGAGACTCAGACACCCACAGTCCTTGGAACCAGGCTTTATGGAGGCGCTGACCCCTTGCCTCCCCGGTCTGTGGTGTCCACGGGCCGCCTGGAGTCCCCCATGAGGGCCTGCCCTGCTGCGAGCCAGATGGGCAGCTCACCGGCCCTGACCCTCCTCAGGCCTTGGCCCCTGCCCCACCCCGCGCCCTCCACGCTCTCCTCTGGGGCCCAAGGCCTCACTGGGCAGGGTCAGGGCTCCTGGCTTCGGGGCAGGGGAGAACTGTCCGCGTCCTGGCCCCCCACCGGGGCCGAGGCGCCTGCGCTGCGCAGCTCCCGGGCCAGCTTCTCTGCCAGTTTTCGGAAGGGCGGCCGGCGGGCAGGCTCAGCCTCCCAGCAGCCGCCCATGAGGGCATGGATGGGGGCCGGGCAGCCTTCGGGGGGCTCCATGCGGTACCCTTTCTCCACGGCCTCGGACACCTCCTTCAGCGACTGTGGGCAGAGTGCACACCGGCATGGCTGGGGTCAGGGCCACAGTCGCCAGATCCGCAGGGGGCCCAGTGCCTCCCCCCACACCCCACTCACCATCTTGGGGTACGGAGCCCGGCCGTATGAGAACACCTCCCACAGAAGCACTCCGAAACTCCAGACATCCGACTTGCTGGAGAACTTCTGTGGGGCCCAGGATCAGGGTGAGGAGGGACCCCGAAGGACTTCTGCGCCAGCCCCTGCTTCCTCCAGGAAGTCCCCCCGGGCTGACCTTCACTCTCTGGTCTCCTCCCAACAGACTGCTCCCTCTGAGCCTTCCCCAGCCGAGTGGGACTCAGACCCAGTGCAGGGAGGGGGCCTCGTTATTCTTGGCCCCGGCGCAGAGCCCGTCTGCTTCAGAAATGGGGAAATGGGGGCCCAGAGAGGGTCACACAGGGAGAGGCCAGACACGGGCTAAAAAGGAGCGACCGTGGGCCAAGCACTCACTGGGGTGGCAGAGCCATTCCCTTGAAAGAGGTCCCGAGAGAATAAGAGACGTGCCCAGGGTCACAGAGCAGGCGGAACCGGGGCTTCAAGGGTCCCAGGGGCGCAGGGGGGCTCACCCCATGTTTGAGAGCCTCAGGCGCCGTCCATTTGACTGGCAGCCGGCTTGAGTCCAGCCCCTTCCGCTCGGCTTTGGCCAGGCCGAAGTCACTGACCTTGGCCACCAGGTCCTCGGAAATGAGGATATTGCGGGCGGCAAGGTCTCGATGCACCAGCTTCTTGCTCTCCAGGTACTCCATGCCCTCGGCGACGTGCCTGGGGAGGGGGCAGGGCCCGAGGTGGGGGTGGCCGCAAGGGTGCAAACTCCCAAGGCCGGGCTTCTCCTGCTCCATGCCTCAGTGCCCCCCTGACCTTGGAAGGCCCCCCGCCCCGCCCCCTCGGGAGCCCCACTCACAAGGAAAACTGCAGGAGCTGAGGGGTGCTCACGAGGGCCCGGCCTCGTGTGCGCAGGAAGTTCACCAGGTTGCCCTGTGGGGGAGGGAGATGGACCTGGGGGGCTCGAGGCTGCTCAGCAGCCCCCCCAGGCCCCGATGGCACCTCAGGCCCCACCCCCACCTTGCTCACGTGCTCCATGACGATGTAGAGCCCCTGGTGTAGGATGACGCCCAGCAGACGCACCAGGTTCTTATGCTGCATCTTCCTGGGGGGCCAGCAGGTGGGCCGTGAAGGCACGGCTGGGTCCCCGACCCCGGGATGCCCTCCTCACCCCCCACCCTGCCCCCGGACTCACGTCATCACCGCCGTCTCATCCAGGAAGGCCTGGGCTGTCACATCGCACTTGATGTTCTTCACAGCCACCTTCTGTCCCAGGTACTCACCCTGCAAGACCGCTGCGGGGGAGAACGGGTATGGGGACAAACAGTTGGGAATACCCACCTACCCCGACCCCCACATACCCCAACACTGCTGTGGGGCCCCAGGCCTGGAAAACCCCTCACCTCACCCCTACAAGCTGATCAAAGAGAAGCATTGAACCCAGGTCAGCAAACTTCAGCTCGGGGGCCAGACCCAATCCTGTCAGAGGCCACCCCGCTTTTGCAAGGCCCTTAAGTTCAGGGACACGTGGGTGGCTCAGTCAGTTAAGGCCCCTAGGTTCTGAGCGGTTTTTACCTTTTTAAATGTTTGGGGAAAAAAATCAAAAGAAGAATACTACTTTGCAATAAACGAAAATTACATGGCGCTCCAGTTTCAGTGTCTACAAATAAAGTTTTATTGGCACACGGCCCCGCCCATTTATTTACCTGTGTCTGCGGCTGCTTTCCTGCTACAAAGGCAGAGCTGAACACTGACTCAGACCGTCTGGCCTGAAGAGCCTAAAATAGGTGCACTCAGGCCCGTTACAGAGAAGGTAGGCCAACCCCTGACCTAAGCAAGCGCCAGAGCCTTCCAAGTAACAGATTCCGGGAGTGGCATTCCGAGCACAGGGCCTGGAGGTGTGAAGGCATCAAGCACGATCACCGATCACCGAGTGCCTGCCTGAGCTGACGTCAGCCCCCCTCACAGAGCAGGTGCTAACATGGGTGTGAATTAACTCGCCCCTCATGACTCCTAAACCCGAACACGCCCCCCTTCCTTCAGCCTCTTACCCAGGCCTCCACTCACCTCCAAACTCACCCTCTCCAATCCGTGCACCCAGCGTCAAATGTTGCAGGTTCAGTAACCAGCCAGCTGTGGGGTAGGGACCGGGTCAGAGGGGAACGGGCTCCACCTGGCGAGAGGCCAGGTGGTGTCCCCCACAGCGCCCCGGCCAGGGGCACACATGCAGCTGCTCCCAGCAATGGTCAAGGGCTTGTCCGAGACACCCCACTCCTGGGCCTGCTTATCAAGTGCTGGAAAGCAACAGAGCCTCTGTACCCCGGGATGACCTGAGGAAAGGGGCTTACGGGGTGGGGGATGGACCCCAGCATGGCTTCCCGGGAATGCCCCATCGGGTCCAGGGGGTGGCGCTGGCAAACCCTTTAGGGCTGCCCTTCTCTCTTCTACCTGGAGAGTGTCCCTCCAAATACCCCAGGGACTCTTCCCTTTATAGTCCTTTACCTCTGGCCACCCAGGACACACAGCAAAAAAATACAACAGACATGGAGACTGGTAAAGCTTCTGGAATCTTCTGGCAAAGGTTCCAGAATCTTCCAGAATCTCCCAGCATTCTAAGTGATCATCTGGGGTCCAGCCTCCCTGACTCCTTGTCTCAAACATGGGACTCCATGAGACTCCATGTCTCAAACTCCTTCCCCTTCCTGCCCAAAGCCCCCCCCCCCCACCAAATTACGAGCCCTTAATTTTGATCAAGCACGGGGACACCAGCCTCCCCTGGGGGCCATCCCTGAGACGTCCAGATTTCCCTGGGAGAGACAGACACGATCATCAGGTTCAGGAGGAGTGGCCGTGGGAGGGGGCATTTGCTCGGGGCCTTGAGCATCGGGGATTTCATTACTCAGGGCCTGGAGGGGCACTTCCGGTGGAGGGAACAGAATGCACAATAGCATAGAGGCGAGAGGAAAGCAAGGAGGCAAGTAAGGAGCATGGAGGAAGGGTCTTGTGGATGAACTAAGAAAGATGGCTCAGCCATCTTCCCTTACAATCAAGGGAAGGTTCTAGAAGGCAGGAGAGTGATGTGGGTGAATTTTCATGATAGAAAGTCACCTCTGGGGACACTGAGGTAGGGGTCCGGCGGAAGGGGAATGCTCCCCAGAGAGGAGGCGGTCTGGTGGGAGGGTCTGAGGCTGGGCTGGGGCTCGGGCTTGGGCCTCTGGCCCAGGCCATAGGGTGGATGATGGGGACCTGGAAGCAGAGCAGGTGTGGGAATTCGCTCCCCGTGGGCCGATGGGCGTCCGTGGGCACCTCTGCCCCACCCGAGCACTGCTCCAGGTCTTCAGCTCGCAGCGCCGGGCACAGCAAGCCATGCTCAAGTGATGCGGCTTTGGCCACCGGCCCCATGAGGAGGGGCGGGGGCCCCTACCTTTGGCCAGCTCCTCTTCTGCCGACTTGGTGCCCTGCTTCCTCTTGGGTTTCACTAGCTTTGTGCAGATGGCCCCCTTGTCCTTGCTGTAGTGCTGCAGGGTGCGGGCGGAGCAGAGGCAGCCGTGAGCCCCTCCGGGGGTGCAGGGAACCCCTGCCTTCTGTGCCCTCCCCAGGGCGGCTCTCCGAAGGGGGTGGGCAGGAGCTGGGGAGAAGGGGGGCTTTGCTTCCCACCCGAGGAGTTGGGCTGGTTTCCATGGGAACGGAAAGGATGCAGGCTAGGAAACAGGAGGATCCTGGGGAAGGTGGGGCGGTGGTCTCTGGATCAGTGTCAACGTGGAGGTTCCTAGGGGTCCCGAGAGGAGCCACCCCAGTCCCTCCCTAGAGGGGGGCCCAGAGGACTCAGACCAGCTGTGGGGCCGGTGGTCCACGGAGACTAGCCCCTCCTTCCCACACCAGGACTGTGCGTGCAGCAGTGGGTGTCCCGGGCCCACCCGGTTGCCAGAATGGGGCGGGGGGCGCCGGGCTGGGGTCCCTCCACCTCCACGGTGCAGACCGTGCGGCTCTGGGGCGCTAGGCCCGGCGGCGGCCGCACCTCCACCATGTCCATGAGGTTGCAGAAGCTCACGGCCTCGTCGATGGTCAGGCGGCCGCCGCGGTGCAGCACGCGGTAGTGGATGACATCCCGGCCGAAGCTGACGCACAGCACGTAGTCGCCGGGGTGCCGCGCCGACTCGCGCACCAGGAACAGCCCGTCCTCGGGCGGCTGCAGCTGCTGCACGGCCTCCTGGCCCGAGATCTTCCCGTGGAACCACCTGCGGCCGGCGGAAGGGCACGCTGGGCCGGGCGGGCCGGACCCTCCTGCCGCCCAGCCCCGGGGGTGGGGGTGGGGGGGCGTCCCCAGACTCACGGCATGAGGCTGAGCTTGGGGTCCGCCGACAGCGCCTCTCGCTCGCGCAGCGCCCCGGCCGCCAGCAGACCCTCCTGCCCGCTGGCGTGGTGCTTGGCACGGTACCAGCTCTTACTCTACCGGGGAGGGAGCCGGCGGTGGGTGTGGGGCGGCGGGGTCCGGGCTCCCGGCAGAGACACCCCTCCCCAAGCGCGCCCAGGCCCCGCGGCCGCCACTCACCTCACAGGCCTCCAGGATGGTGACCACGTCGCCCTTGTGGAAGGCCAGCTCTCCCGGCTTGGGGCGCGTGTGCTCACACTTGGTGATGCACTGGGTGCCTGGGGCCCAGCGCCTCTGAGGCCGGGAGGAGGGATGGGGGGAGGGCCAAAGGGGCATGAGGGGGAGGCCCAGGGAGAGAGAGAAATGGAAATTGGGCAAAAGACAGCAAGGCAGAGACAGAAGAGAAATCAAGAGGGAGCAGCCTGGGCAGAAGTTATCAGGCACAAACCCAGGGGCCCAAAGCAGAAGGTCAGGAAGAAAAGGTGACAGAAATGTAGCATCAGGTGATAGTGAAAGAGTGTGCAGCACTGGCTGAAGGGGGCCGGAGTCACAGGTCCAGCCCCCCACCCCCACCCCGGACTCGGGGCTGAAGTCCCGCGGGTGTGGACTGGGTGGGGGACGGCCCAGGACACAGGCACCCGGGTTGGGGGTACTCACCGTTGGCATCCTGGCTGAGATGAACGTGGGGTGCCAGGCACGGAGGAAGCGAGGGCTCACCTGGGGGCGGGCAGAGACCAGCTGGAGATTGGAGGCAGGCTGGGGCGCCGGCCATTACTAACTAACCACTTCCTGCCCAGGCCAGGTGGGGGCAAGTACGGGAGGGCATCCCCATGGGGGGTTCCAGGTGGTGGCTCCCCAAGCCCCTCTGGGGAGGTGGTCTTTACCCACAGGAGTTCCTTATCAGAGTTGCTGTCATGGAACATCAGCGAGGAGACCAGAGTCTAGCCCCGCCATTGTCCCGGAAGCGCAACAGATGCACAAGGTGGGCACAGAGCAAGTGGCCATAGGGTGGGGAGGGGTGAAGTGCCTGGCTCAGGCTCTCCAGCAGCCCCACAGTGGGTGGGAAACATGGTGCCACCTAACTGAGCTTGGTTCCTCTTTTCTGGTAAGTGGGCAGGGGCAGGGCAAGGAAACAGAGGATGATTCAAGGTCATTCCCAAGTATCTCTGAACCTAGGGTGGGGCTGGGAGGGGGTGGGGGGAGCGGGCATGCAGCCCTGCTGGGCTTCTCTGGCCACCAAACTGAGCCTCTCTGATGCCCCCCAATTCCAATGCCAACCTAGGATAGACATGCAGTCTCTTACTGCTGCTGGGGAAGGGGCTTTTCCACCCCTTTTCTCCTCCTTGGACCCCACAGCAGGTGGCTGGGCAGTGGGGATGGTTGGAGGGATGAGCCTCTGCCCCTCCAGTATTGCCCCCCATAAATCCCCAGCCCCATGTGTACTCACACGCATACTGACCCATGTACACACGAGCACACACAGAAACACATGGGGCTTGGACACAGGTGGATACAGGTACCCAAAGGCACGCGGGCGCGCAAGCAAAAAGCACATTCACCTAGAGACAGGTGTGTGCCCTTCTACACATGGGTGCACACGGACAGACTCTCAAACGTCCAGAAATGTGTGTACCTGTCCCCCCCCAACACACACACAGACCCACACTTGAACACCTGGGCGCCAGACGCTGGGCGCCAGACACTGGGCCACCAGGGCACGCAGAGCTACACGCAGGGCCGCGCACACGCATCTCGGCCACACGCGAACATCACTCCACGTGGACGCGCGGATACACACACCCGGGAGCTTGCAGACGCGCACACTCGCACCCAGAAAAATACCCCCACCCTGCGCCCGATCGCCTCTAACCACCCGCTACCCCAGCCGCGTACCCGCCGCGCACGCCGGACGCGCACACTCGCGCTCACACCGGCCCCTCCGCCGCACGCCCGGGACTTCCCCGGAGGCCTCGGGGTTCCCCCCCACACCCCGCCACTGCCCCGCGGGCTCTCCCCCCCCCCCCCCCCCCCGCCACCGCGCTCACCTGCTCAGGGGGCGCCCCCGGGCCGCGCCCCGCGCCCACACCCAGGAGGGCCCCCGCGCGCTGGCTGCGCACCCCGAGGCAGCCCTGGCTGCACAACTTGGAACAAGTTGCTCCGTTTCCTCATTTTGGGGTGGAGGGGAGGAGGGCTGGGGGAGCGGGGGAGCGGGAGGCGCCGCGGCCCGGGAGGCCCCCGCAGGTCCTAGCGCCGGCCGCACTGCGGTCGGCTCCGCGCGCCGCCGCCGCCGCCGCCGGCCCCTCCCCGCCCCGCCCCTGAGGCCCCCGGCGCCTCCCGCAGCGCCCGGGCGGGGGCCGGGGTGCTCGCCTGCTCCACGCCACTCCCTGGCACGGTGCCGCGGGGCGCACCCCGCCCACCCGGGGAACCGGAGGCCTTGGAGCTCGGAGCGGGTGCCGCGCACGGGGCGGGGGAGTTGTGGGGGGGGGGAATAGGGAGAGTGAGCCGCCCGTTTGGGGAGATAAGCAAGCCGCAGAGCCCAGACTGTGCAATTGACACTTCGGACTGCGATTCCAACGCCCTCTTCACTCACCTCCTCTGCCGAGAGGGTTGTTGGCGTCTGGCGCAAAGCAAGTGCTCAAAAATGTCATTGGTCATCAGTATTGTTAGGATCCTCAGCAACATTAGGGGGGATATTGGGGCTCCCGAAAAAGGTCCTATGGAACCGGAGGCCTCCTGGTGGAGCCTGCCTGGGGTCAACCCAGCTGGGCCAGGGATTCCTCCTCCGCAGAGCCGGCAGCGCGGGCTTCACCCTCAGACACCGGTTTGATGAGCGTTTGCTGAGCGCCGCGCTGGGCCCGGGCCCGGGGCCCAGCCATCGCTCTGCTTCTAGGGCCTGAGTCTGTTGGACCAGGATGGTGCTCATCAGAGGAGGGTGATGGGCCAGGATGCCCAGGGAGCCTGAGTCCTGTTTTAATCTGTCAGCCCAAAAGGCTAAGTGTCTACGCTCCAAGGCATCATGTGATTTCTCAGAATAGAGGCCCAGTTACAGAACTGTAAAAACATCCCAATTATGGAATATTCTAGAACAAAAACGAGGAAATTGTATGTATCAAGGTTCTAGAATCAACAGTTGTCGAAAACCACCGCCACCACCACGTGACTCAACACAACTGGCCCCATCCTTTCGTGTTATACAGGAGAAAATCAGCACATGGGGAAGGCTCCAGAAGGGGACCCTCCAAACAGCCCAGGGTTGTCCCCAACGAGGGCAGTGGGTGGGAGGAGAGGGAGGGAGAGGACCATTTTCCTTCAAGGTGGTGTAATTCACTGTAAGTGGTAATGTTGGCAGGGAGGATGCTCCGCTAAGGATATTCCTGCTAAGCGGGGCTCCCCAGGCTCCCCGGGCTCGGCTGTGGGAGAGTCCTGGGGTGCGGCCACACCTCCCAGCCTCAGGCACTGCTGTGGACCCAGGGCTGGGGACCCTGCAGCCAGCATTCAGTTGGGTCACGGGGCCACCATATATGGCAAACCATCATCACTTGCCTGAAATAGAAACATCAAAATAGCCACAGGAAACCCAGTAACGCCAGGAGCTTCAGACCAGAGACTGCAGCCAGAGGTCCCATGATGGAGGCTTGCCTGCTCTCTGCTCAGCAAGGACAGGAGCCTGTGTGTAAGACCTTAAGAGGCTCGCACACCCCAGGGAGCCTTTCTCCTTGATACAGTCAGGGAGGTGGGGAGAGCGTTGAAAGGGGCTGGCTTGCTCCCCCTGTGAATCAATACTTAGTGTCTGAGGAATACCTACGTCTTCCCCAGGACCCGAGGGGTCCTTGTCCCACACTCTGGAAGGCCCTACCCCAAACAGAGGGATCAGAGAGGAACCACAGGAGCGGAGATTGGAGAAGGACAGACTTCAGGTGGATAGTGCCAGGTTCCCAAATCTCCAAGGGCTAACCTGGGGGGCAACCCCCCCCCCCCCCCCCCCCGCCGCATATGGGCTTGGGGCACTGAGCTGTCACAGTCTCCCGGACTCTAGGGAGATAGGTTTGAGTCCATGGTTTATTTGGGTCAGAGCTACAGAAGGAGTGAACTGCCCACTCCTGAAAACATTCAAGAATTGGCCACTTTGAATCTCAAAGACTAGAGGGGTCTTGCAGTCCCCAGAAGTGGCAACCCCAGTTTCTCCTCCTCCTGCCAGGCGCAGGGGGGACCAGCCCCTTCCTTCTACCAGCCTGAAGCCAGTTGGTAGCCACACCGTCAGACTGGACTCCAGAACGACCCAGCCCTGGGCTCCTCACCCTCCAGATTTCTGTCCTGTTGACTTGATTCCAGAAATCCTCTGACACCCCAGGCCACCCGCCTTGTGCAGGCTGGTAACAGGAGCCCCTCCCTGGTTCCCCAGCTGCCTCCAGTTTTTCTCCTTGCTGCCATTCACCTTCCACTGCGTGGCTAAGGATGAAAATGTGACTGTGGCCCTCCCCGGCACTAAATCCTTCCATACCACCCTGCTGCCTAAAACGCTCAGTCCGGCCACCCGAGCTCTTCCCGTTCGGCTCCCAGCAGGCTTCCCTAGCCTCGTCTCCTTCTGCTCCCACAAAGCACCCAATGGTCTGGCAACTCTGAACGGCAGGAGCTTGCATCCTTTGGACTGGCTGCCCTTCTGCCCGGAATGCCCTTCTGCCTTGTCCGTCCGGCATCATTTTTGTGAAGCCTTCCCGGATGCCCCCATCCTTCTCGGAGCCAGGCCCTGCTTCTATGTCCTGCAAAGATTCCTCGCTGTAGGCACCAGCTCTTACCTCACTGTGTGATGGCTGTGCACCTGGCCTTGGTGACCCAGCCCATCAGCCTGCCTGCGAAGGAGGCCAGTCCCAATGATGTGGGAAGCAAAGGCAGAAGAAAAATTACTAAATTTCCTTCCTACCTACAGCCCCTTGACAAGTCCTTGAAACAGGCAGAGTGACCTTCCTCTAGGGACCCAGCTGCCTCGATGTTGATACTTTGCTAAGGGCAAAAGGCAGTCTTAGCCCGACCCGCAGGATCCTGTAAGCCTACTCTAACATATAAAAATTCCTTTGGAAACCTCCTTTATCTCTACCCCCCAAGATACATGTTGGCCGTCATCCCCCAGGCATACCCACCAACCCACCGACGCACTTCACATACATCTGAAGGGTCTCATGACTGAGGGTCTACTAAACAGTAATAAATGACCCTTCCCAACAATAGCTACCCCCTCAGGATCCTGGAAGCCTTGTTTCCAAAACACCTGGGAGGCTTACACTACCCCAACCCCCTCCCAACCTGGAAGTATGTAATGGGCCACTCCTCACGACCCCAGAGTAGCTCTTTCTGCCCACGGGTCCTGTCCCTGTATGCTTTAATAAAACCACCTTTTTGCACCAAAGACGTCTCAAGAATTCCTTCTTGGCCTTTGGCATCGAACTCTAACATCCTTCCTCCGTCAACCAGGAAGCAGGGATTGAATCCTGCAGGAAGAATTCAAATCCTCGGAGGCAGCCATGCCTCGGGTTTGTGCTATGACTAGTGTTGGAAGCCACTAGTTGGTTTTTGGTTGCTTCTGAAGGGGGCTTCCCCCACTTGCAAGCAAAAAGATTCCTAAGACTGAAAATGGGGCCAGGGCGCCTGGGTGGCTCAGTTGGTTGGGCGACTGCCTTCGGCTCAGGTCATGATCTTGGAGTCCCGGGATCGAGTCCCGCATCGGGCTCCCTGCTCGGCGGGGAGTCTGCTTCTCCCTCTGACCCTCTCCCCTCTCGTGCTCTCTCTCTATCTCATTCTCTCTCAAATAAATAAATAAAATCTTTAAAAAAAAAAAGAAATTAATGGGGCCAGAAGTGGGGGGTTGAAATGAACAGACTCTAGAAGGAGCAATTGGTGAGTCAGATTAAATGACCCTAAACGCAGCTAGGGATCTCCTGGGCGTGCCCTTTCAAGATCCAATAAATCTGCATTCCATCCATTGGGTCTGCTGGTGCTGTCTTCCGTCACATGCAACAGAAAAACCCTGAGGGACCCACCTCCCTTGGACCCACTTCCCTTCTCTCCTGAATGCCTTTCCTTATTTATTCAAAGTTCTCTCTTCTTCACTTCCTACCTTTCTCCTATTTTGGCTGTTGCGATTTGTATAACCCCCACCCCCCGTTTTCCACACTCCGGCCCACGGAGGATTTGGGGGGAGCCAAATGCTCTCCTTTGGGGGGATTTGGTGATTTGAGGGGAGCCAATCCTCTCGTTTTAGAATTGAGCAGCTGAGTTCCTGAGAGGCAAAGCGACTAGTCTACGGTCACACAGCTGGCTGGGGCTATAAGTCAGGTGTGTGAACTCACTTATTCTTCCTCACTGATATGGATGCAAATCAACGTAGGCAATGAACAGACAGAGTCGTGTAATAATGCACTTGACATAACGTATCAGTTAGTAGGATTGGTACACAGGGATGGAAGACCCCAAGTGCTAGAGGCTTGAATTAGATAGAAATTCATCTCTGAGGGATGTGCTCCTGGGCAGTGTCAGGAACCGAGGCTCCTGCCTTCTTGATGCTCTGCCTTTCTCAGCACAGGAACTTCCATCTCTTGAGCTAGGATGGCTGCTCAAGCTCCAGCCTTCCCATCTGCCCTCCAGCCAACAGGAAGCAGGAAGTTGGAGAAAAAGGTACACCTCTTCCCTTTAAGAACTCTTCCTGGAAGATGCATGTGACGCCTTTGCTTCATTCCACTGGGTGGAACTTAGCCATATGGCCAAATTTAGTGGCAGGGGAAGCTAGGAAATGTAGTCTTTACAGCAGGGGCCAAGGAAGCTTCCTCAAAGCTCCCAGACCTGTTCCCACCTCAGGGCCTTTGCATCAGTTGTGCCTTCTGCCTGGGACACTTCCCCAGACCCAGCAACATCCCAGCACCCTACAGAATATTTCAACCTGCTGACACTTCCTGTCACCTCCCCTTGGAGCTCTGGAGAGCTACCATGGTCTAACTGACCATACATTTTACTTCTTTTCCTTGTTTACTGGCTGCATCCTCTCTAGAACATCAGCTCCCCAAGGGCAGGGATTTTGGACAGTGTCATTAATTGCTGCGGCCTCCATATACCTGGCACACAGGAGATGCTTGGAACATATTTTTTAAGCCAATGAATATTGGGGAAGGGAGAGGTAATGAGCAGTGGCTGACATGT